TACACTCCACATTTGTAATAGGCATCTGCCAAAAGTTTTTATTTTTTATACCACAGATATTTGTACATTGTGTTTGAGCTTTTGTCAAAGAAATTGTGAGTCAAAGTCTAGAATAAAGATAAGTTTATGATTTGAATTAAAAAAAAAATTTAACAAAACTTCAAAGATTTTAAAAACTATACTCTCCATTCTTTTTAAATCATGTTATCAAGCTTTGCATTACAGAGTGAGAATATTTCTATATATTTTAAAAATTTCAAAAATTTATATATATATGCATTGCAATGCATCTCAAAATTTTCATTGTATTTTGCATTGCATAGTATTACACAAAAAATTACATAAGAAATTTTTGTATAATTTTTAAAATATATAATTATTATTATCTATAGAAACATTCAAAATAGTAGTATGTGCTGTTAAGTAATGATTGTTCCAAATAGAAGGGAGAAGCTTATTTAATTGCAACTTCTTGAGTAAAATATGATTGAAGAAAAAACAATTTTAAAAAGAAAGTTGAATAAGGTCTATTGAATCAAAGAGATTTATATTGAAAGACCACATTTTATTTCATTTTGGTAGTGTTGGATTCTAACAAATAATTAAAATTCTACACAAATATCTCAACATTTTTTTGAAAAATATAGTTACAAAATTATTCTAAAAGATATTCTAAAAGATAGAGAATGGGTGAAGAATGTAGTCATTGGTGAAAAATTGGATAGTATTGTGATTGAATTCATAGGGAACCAGCTTCAGTAGATTTCATATGATATTATTTTATAAACGAAATTCTTGAATAATATAATTTTATTGGAATTTTCTAAGTATTATCAACCACAACAAAAACTATCAGTGACAACAACACAAGTTCATCTAATTGATCATGTACAAAACTTTGCATGTATAATTAAATTAGTAGTGAGAGTTTCGTTGCTCAAAAGTATTTTCGGGTCTTCATTCTTAATTAAAGATGTGCTGTTTTTTTAGCAGTGGTTGATCAAAAATACTTATTACTTTGATTTAAATTTTGTAATTTTAAAGAAGTGTGACTCTCTTGGTACCAAGAAAATTATGTAAATATTTTTTTGGTTCTTTTAAAAAAATTATTGTTAAAACAATTTGTAATATAATATAGAACATACAAGTAAGAGTGTATATCCATTAGATTGTATGTATTTACATGCATGTGTAAATGCATCATTAAATACTGGAACTTTGATTTGTAACATGCTTATTATCACTTTTGTAGTGAACTTATGACAGAATGTGACTAAAATAACTTTTGATGCAGCAATTCCAACTTATCCTCTTTCTTCCAAGGATCAACATGAATCAAACTGCATTACTTCCAAGTATGAGGCTCTTTCTGTTTTACAATATTGGCACTAGACCCAATTCAAGGTCAAATTCAATAACTCTTCTTCAAAGCTCCCCCATACAGAATAAATTTGGTTGCACTACTTTTTGGAGATGTGGACCTTGACATGTCTGATCAGATTGGTGATAAATTATTATTCTGTGATCAATCTCTGCCATTGCTGTGTTTCTATCCCAACCATACTATAACTAGATAAGAAAACCAGTGACAAAGAGAACTAAATTTATGGGAATGGCTTTCCTTGGATTCCCTGGTAGAACAGTAGGCGTTGCACCAAATCAGGAAATCAATGTGCTGAATGTGGGCAGGATTTGTTTGCTTCTGATTACTTCTATTTTTTCTGTTTTCTTTTACTTTTTTCTCATTTTAGGGCAGGGTTACTGACCAATACAATGCGTGTGAGGCGTGGGATATGGGTACATGGAAGATTCTGTTTGTATGTTTTTTCAGTCCTGCCCCCTTCCACCTTATATGGTAAAGCCCATGTGCAGACACCAATTTGATAGCCATGGGGAGAATACTTCTCTGAAGTGGGTCGTGAGCCAAGTTGGAACAGCCTTCTTGGAATGTTCAAAAGAGTCACCACATGGACTGCCCAGTATTTGAAAAAATAAAAAAATAAAAAAATAAAAGTTTGCATCCAGTTTTGGACAAATCCATTAACTAGAAAATTTTAAGATAAAAACAAAAAAAAAAAAAGGGTGTGTCACTAACAGAGTTAAATTTGTGCAGGCTTTGTGACAAGGCTCAGGAAAAGGCATCTCCTCAATTCTGGCTTTGCTTGATTCCACTAGTGCTTCAATCATTGCTCTATTAAAAGTATCTTTTGATTGATTACTACATGATTGACCATCAAAAGATGAATGAAAAATAGGTGAATAAAAGAAAAAATGTAAAACTTTCTTGGGCAGATGATCATGCATTTCAAGCTCTTCTGAACCACCAACCCAACACATACAGCTTTGTCTTCTATGTTCCCCTCTTGTGGTCATTCACATGCTGTGAGGAGGGTCCACATTTTTCAATGAAATGTCTGAAATCACTGTTCATGACATGGTGGGTGACGTATGAAAGAAAACCTAACAAAACTATGCTCCATAATAAGCAACTCCACTTTAAAACTCTAATGTATACACATAGAAAACTTCTCAGCTTTTTTCTTCAGAAGAAACTAGCCGATACTGTACTGTAACATTTTACAATCTGTGTTTTGAAATCTGTCTTAGTTGCAGGATCCCCAAAAGGTTTAAGGAGTCTTGTGATATAGGATCCTGGTTTTGTTTTATTTGCTTTTTTAATGTTGGTTTTGTTTGAGTAACAAGGAGCCAGTTGAAAAGTAGAGGACGAACCAAGTCTGCACATCACTGGAATCTCATTATCATTTTTTTGATTCCCATCACAGGCTGGAAGATGACTCATGTGTCTGTACCTCTTTACTTGTAAAGGGTTGTGTAGTATTTTTATTTAGTTATTTATTTATTTATTTTCTTATAGCATTGGCTCACATCAAGCCCTCAACAGCCAAGAGACTGTCCTTGGTGAAAGCTCTCTACCATGGCCATTGCTACATGTTGGTAAGGATGACCCTGTATGGCATGGAAGAACAGACTCACATAACTAATCCCAGCACTCAGGTGCAGTTAGAAATGACACACTTAGATACCTTTGTTGGAGAAGGGAATTGTAGTGATTTGGAATGTGATTATTGTAGTGATTTGGAATGTGCTCCTAAAATACTTCAGTTCTTTGTTGGTTGCCAACAATCTTATCCTATGACACATACAACACACTTCTACACAATTGTTGTTCTTCCTCATGGCAATACACCCTTCCTTTTACCCTGGGATGCATTGGAACTCCATCCTCAACAACTCTCAAAGTTGGTGTCCTTGTCACAATAAAGTTGATAAACAAAATCTGAAGATCTAGTCAAAATCCACACAAAAGATTGAAAATCAATTAAAACCTTGCCTTCCACGCTTCCATTAGAAAAACTTCATACAAAACAAAAAAACATGCAAAGTAAAAAAGTACAAAAAACTTCTTAAACAAAAAAATAAAAAACTAATTCTAAATTCACAAAATTGTGCTATGAAGAAGAGAGAGATGAGACATGCAAGGGGGGAATGCAAAAAAATCTTACAAAAACAAAAAAAACATGGGAGGGAGGAGTGCAAAAAAACAAGAAAATAAATAAATAAATAAATAATAAATACAACACTCAAAGTAGTTGTGTGTATTGCCATCAATGACCAAAACTTGTTGTAAAGAATGGCTAATTTTCAATCCGCTTATGTGTGTTTGGAATTATTAAAAAATATGAGGAAGGAGAGCTTCTTGGAAGAGGGGTGGTCAGAAGTGGGGCCGACCAGGTGGCGCCGGGCCTGACAACCCTACATGGGCTCTGCCTGGGCCCCACGGAAAGGACGGGCCCGCCCTCACCAAGCCGTTTTCACGATAGGCTGGCGGCCAAACGCCCAAATCCGTCGTCCCCGCCCTACAGGGGGCCTTGGTGGGGAAGTTTTTGAGGGCGGGGGAGGGTGGCTGCTCGATGTCGCTAGCATTGGTGGCCATGCTCTAAGTAACTTTACACAATTATCTCAAAATTTGAGTCACCAGGGGGGTGAGGCAAAGTTCACCAATTCCTATTGATTGAGTCTCAAGCATCAAGAAAGTGCAAAATTTAGAAGCAAAAATGACTTCGACTTTGTTGTAATTAAACCAGAACTGCACATATGCACAGGCTCCAATTGATGCCTCCAGGTCCTTTGTTGCAGGGTTCTCACGATCGACATTCTGATTATAACCGAAACCCCGCCGGAGCAAAGAAGTGTATCACTCTTGTTTCAGTGCGCTAGTTTGTCACTTCACTTTGACTGAAACGCTGTTAAGGGGAACATTGTAGTCTTGCAGCCAACATCATCAGGATCCAGGATTCCATGAGGGTAGCCATATCTGTGGTGGCTTTCAAGGTCAACCTAGTTGTAGGGGGTTGACGTAGAAAGAAACGCTTCTCAAGTGTTTAGGCATGAAACATGCAGCTCAAATCTGACCCAATTTAACAACTTGTGTAACCTGCTGTTCTGGAAATGAAGCTCCGCAACATTTGAAGTAGGTTGGACACGAAGTTTAGAAATACAAATGTGCCCAAGGAGTGAATTACAGGGCACATCACAGCTCGTGGAATAATACAATATCAGGTCAAAACATGTTTTTATGAAGAAGAGTATTTAGGTTTCCGTCTTACGAAAAACTACTATCAAACAATCAGACATGTCATCTCATGATCGATTTCCAGACCTCTGTTACATTGGCTCTTGAATCTCAACGCAAATCATCAAAACCCAGATTCCTTTGCATATGGCTATGATGTCTCGCGGCCAGAGACTGGTCATGGAGGAGGGAAATTTTGAGTGGAAACCTGCACCCGCTGGGAACATCCGGGATAACTTGACTGCATGCGCGTAAGGGCATAGGCTAATAGCATCCTTTAGAAGGCTAAAACACTCGGTCATGCTCTGAACACTAGAGCTGTTTAACGAAAACGGATTCTAGGATAGAACGAAGCTCAAGTCTACCCGATCCAACTTCCCATTTAAGATAATTTCAAGGACTGCACTGAACAAAAAATACAAATAGAATCTGTGTTACTTTTTTCATTACAAGAAAACCTCAGTGAATAGAATTCAAATAACTTCCGCATGGTATAACCTCGCTATTGCTTAATACGTCATTGTGATCCTACCAAGTGACTAACCGAGGCAGCTCACTCTAAGCGGCGGCACCCTTGCCCTTCTTCTTCTGAATCTTCTTCTGATAAAATTCGAGCTCTTTGCCCTCCAAGATGTACCTGCAAGAATCGCAGCAGTACAAAGTTTCATTGTTATTGTTTGATAACGTTCAATGTAAACTTGACTCATGTCCAACAGTACGATCTCATGTAAGCCCACATTTTTCAGAATTAATCGGCATCTAGTTGTTAGACAAGAAGCCAGAAATAAGAAATAAGTCAAACCAAGAAATATGACATTCCCTTTGCAAACGTATCCAAGCTAAGAAGACGAGCCACTCTTTTATTGTCAAAACTTAAATTTCACCTGTCAAAGTGATACTAACCACAACAGCACTTAAGCACAGGACAGACCCAGATTCATACCCATTCCAGACAAATATCTGACAAAAATGCTACAACAGGATATAGCCCTCCCGAGTGTCTGGATCTTTGGGACACGTCGAGAAATTCATCCTCCTTTGATTTGGAAAGCCATTGGTTACGAAATTCAATCTCCATAATGTCAACACCACTAACGGGTGAGCCAGACATGTTTTATGATTAGGAGTACACTGTGAAAATAATCAATGCAAACAACCAATCGATATACCGAACAAATCCAAAAAAAAAAAAAAAAAAAAAAACTTCCCAAACTGCTAGTGTAGGAGCTGAAGGCATACTGCATGAACGTACCCATCGGCGCGACCGCACTGTCCAGGTCGAGAGGCGATGCAAGCAAGCAACCTGCCACTAGCAAACTGATCCTCCAAATGAGAATCAAGTTTGTGGCCCTCCACCCTCTTAGCTAATTTCTTCTGAACGTGGTTACTCTTCTTCTCTTCCTCTGTGGCTTCAGCATCCTGAAATGAGCGCCGGGATACATGAAATTCCATTGAAGAAACGTCGTACTTTCCCAAAAGCAATTGTAAATACAACGAAAACTTTAGAGAATCAATTTCATGTTTCAGTAGCCTCGACTTAAACTCCACACTTGCCCTAATAGATTAACGTATTTAGATAAGGAAACGAAACCCTACGGTCAAACCCGCTGAAACTGACCTCAGAGTCCTTCTTAGCAGCGGACTTCTTCTTCTTGCCAATTTCGACGCCGTAGTGCTGGCTGTACCAGGTACGGAACGGAGCAGCGTCTACCTGAACAATAGCATTCTTCACCAAAGTCTGAGTACGAACTAATTCGTTGTTCGAAGCATTATAAACCACGTCCAATACTCTGGTTTTGCGGGTAACAGCCTCCGAACCCCAGGAATAATTGCCAGTATCCAAACGCAGCGCCCGGAACTTGGAGTTTCCACCACGCACACGGATACGCCTAACGGTCTTATTGCTGGACAACTTGGTCATGGCACCTTGCCTCCCAAGCTCGTACCTACATCACATCTACCATCAGGATCAAAACCAACCAACAGTACCAGACACACAACGGCAGTCACGTATAACCTAGTACGACTATACAAAGAAGAACAGTAAACCGAAATTTGTTGACGAGAGAATAATCAGAATCACACATGGAGACCTACTTGCGCTTCTTGCGCCATGACTTCTTCTTCCCTCCCGTAGCCCGTCTCTTGTGAGTGGAATCCCTAGAGATACCTGCACAGTGAATTCAATGAAACAAGAATTGCTTAAACACGAGTTCTTTCCCACGAGTATTAAGGTGTTCAGTGTCGGAAGAAATCGGGGGTGGAGAGTCCAGAGTCGAACCCATGGTGATGTCCGCTGCGCCACCAGCTACCAGCAACGCAAGAAGCAAACTATCGTATGCAACAAGGATTTGCCCTGGAAACTCTTCTCGCCACTCCACTCGACCTCCGCGCGCTTGGTTTCCTTGGGTACCCGAGTCCCGGTCGGGACCAGCCAGACCCGTTTCTCTCGATTGAACCCCACTCCCATGATGCACTGCGGTTATAGGGTGGCAAACTGCGATGGCAAATATTAAGGGGATTCGGACTTAATGTTTTTGGGTAACCAAATATCACGTGTATTTGGTTTTCGGGAACCCAAATATCACTTGTTTTTGGTTTCCGGGAGCCCAATTATCACAGATCACTCAAAATACCATCTCCCCAAATATCGCTGTTTAAACTTTATTACCCCCTTCAAATTTTTGAAGTATCACTTGATATTTTGGTGATTTGGAAAAGTTAAAGTAAAGTGCATTTTATTCTAAATTTACTTTTTAATCCATCTATCTTTGCATCATGAATAATTCTCTCTTACATACAAATCCCCTACATAATATTTTGTCAAATTTAATTTAATTAATTTATTATTAATTTATTATTTAATTATCATTTTATGTCTTTCTTCAATTTGTGATGTCTTATTATGAAGTTTATGTACAACACTACAATGCAATATAATAAAAAAAAAGTGGTTAATAATATAGAAGAAATTTACTTTAGTTTTTATACTTAGTATCTTAAAAAATTCATTAGTACTTAAATATAGCCAATAATATAAGATTTTAATGCAAAGTATAAGAAGATATTAAAAGTTAATCTAATATCTAAAAAGACAAAAATATTATTAGAAATTTTTTTTGTTACAAAAATGACTTAGAAGTTGTTAGTAGAATTTGAAACTAGTTTTAATGTCAAAAGTCTTGAAATAATTTTCAACCATAAAGTAGATGTAGGAAAATTATGAAAGTCAAAATAATAATCTAAATTTTATATATACAAAAAAAAAAAAAAAAAAAAAACTTATTGGTTTAAAACATATAACATAAGTATCATTCAATCTATTTTTTTTTCTTGAATCTTGCTAAAATCTTCAAACAAACATTAAGAAGTTAAAATTTTAAAAATTTTAAAAAATCATTTTAATATAAATTAATTAATATTTCATTTTATTTTATTTATTTAAATAATTAATATAAATATTATTAAAATAATATTTTAAAAATTATGGATAAAAGATAATATTTCCTAAAAATATAGTTTTATATCATAAAGATGATAAATACTTTTGATGTGTGTATAAATATATATATATATATATATATATATATATATATATATATATATATATCATTTATTCATATTATAATAGATATAATTTTAATACATTAAATTAAAATTAAATTAAAATAATATGAATATTCTTTATAATATTACTCCAAATTATAAAAAATTGATAGAAATATTTTTAAAAATATATCAAAAATTAAAAACTTCATACATAATATTATAACGTAATATAAGTTTATTCTATAATTTTCTTAGAATCTAAGACTTTTATATCTATGGCATAACTATATTTATTCAAAGATAGTAATATATTAGACCTAGAATGGCTTTACCAAAGACAAAAAGACTAGAATCCTTGAAACAAGACTAAAAATAAGAAAGACATTGAGAAGAGTGAAAAAAGCTTTACTCTTGCCTTTACATATACTATCTAACTAAAAGCTATGTAGTAATGTTCTACAAGACGTCCAATACATATTTAACTTATAAGGGAGGTTTTCTCTACATAGCCTTCAATTGATATTAATATTATAGAACCATTATATCTTTAGACAACCAATATACACTATTTATGAGCCTTGGTGAAGCTCGAACTCTTGATCTCTTAAAGCAAGTTATCCTTGAGGTAAAATTATTTATTTAACTTTTCATTTACTTACTTGTTATTTTTCAAACCTTCATAACTTATCCATAGTACTTCGGATTTATATGTTTCTTATACCATTGAAAAGATAAAAAAAATTAAAATTTTAAAAATATATTTTTTATTTTTATTTTTGATTTTTTTATTAGATAAAAATTCAATGAACAAATTGTGACTTAATTTTGGATGTTGTAATTACTTGATTTCATTTCTTTTACTTGTATTGTGGTTGTTCTTTTTGGATTTTTTGCCAATTGCATACTTTACTTCACACCACCAATTACAAGCAATTCTTAATCGAGGCCATCTTGTAATTGGGATTGAAGAATGAAATTTACACTCACACCTACCTCAAATAAAATCATTGAACATTGAGAGTCTCTTTTCAGGTTGTGATATGAAATGCATTATATATTGCCATATATTCAAAAATAAACATGTCATTCCTTAAGGCCTTCATCCCTATTATGTGGTCTTAAATGTTATGATAATCGCAATGTCTAGTCCAATAAGTCAACAAACAATAGCTCTTGAATTAAATCCGCTTGCTATTGATTCTCTATTTTCTAAATACCACAATTATACAGAAACTACAAATAAAGATAGAAGATAAATGCAATCTTTTCTATTTTTTTATTTTTTTATTTTTTTATAGCAAAGATTTGTTATCTTTGATCTTGATTTTAATTAGTGTTATTAATGAAAGCTTTGATTTTCTTTGTTGCATTTATAAGATTTTTTGCTGGCTTGCATGTATATTTGCTAATATCATATTCATTGTCATATTATGTAAAGTCTTGCTTGAGAATGCATAGGACTTTTGGTTGTAGAAAGTAGAATAGAAATTGCAACAACAAAATCCTAACTCTAATAGAATATTAAATAAACTCTAATTAAATTTTAATAATGCTAAGCAAGCTTTAATCAAATTCAAAAGAAATATTAAAGAAATTATAAAAGAAACAATAAAAAAAATATTAAAAGAATTCAAAAGAAATATATAATAAATCTTAAAAGAATTCTTAAAAAATACTAAAAAAATATTAAAATAATCACAATATTTATTTTAAATAAATCTCAATTAAGACTTAATTTAATCCTAATTAAAATCCTAATGGACTTCAATCAAATCTTAAGCCAAATTATTGGCCAAATCCTAAATCCTAAGCTAATCCTAAATTCTAAATTCTAAATCTTAAACAAATCTTAAATCCTAAATCCTAAATCCTAAGTAAATCTTAAATCCTAAGCAAATTCTAAATTTAAAACTTGTCATAGATATATACATTTATCCCAATAGTTACTTATATCATTAGATAGAAGTAGATAAATGTAGATTAATTTCGTAAAGTCTTCTAGAAAACCTTCTTAGAAGCTTCAAAGATGCAATTTTGACTTTACATGTGTTTGTAGGTTAAAAACTTAGCCAACAAGTTAACCATGTATTAGTAGCTTAAAGAACAAGTTAACTCCATATAATAGCTTGTAAAATAAGCTAACTATGTAGCACATAAATAAATAAATTACCTTGCAAGTTAAGACATGTGGCTAGTAAAGTCAACACATTGTCGTATTATAAATCTTATAATATGTAAAAATTAGTTAAAACATATTATATATTAATAAATCTAGATGTATGTTAGATTGGTCTGTAGATTAAATTAAAAAGAGTTGGTATAAGAAAATTTACTTTATTTTTTTACTTGTTTTGATTTTGGCATTAAAAAAAATATATAACTTAAATATTTAGTATGAAGTCTTGGAAGAAGATGGAAGCCTAAAGATGAAAATCTAAAGTAATAGGAGACTAACTAAGAGGGATGAAAATAAGGCATAGTTAGATGAAGGCAAGGAATGGAGAACTTCATCCCTATTAATCGAATACCATGTCCAATGAGCTTTGAAGAGGCTGCTTGTGACCTTAACAAGGATTTTAGTGACTTCAAAGAAGGCATTTAAGAATTAAAAGATAAGCTTGTAAATTTTAGGATTTGGATTACAATTTGTATATAAAATTAGAAAATTTGGAATTAGGGTGAAGAAGTTATAGACATTTGAAGTTTAGGTATTAATTTAAGACATACTATAACTCTTTTGAGGATACAAAGTATTGTATAGTAGTTCTTAAAGATCAAAAGATGCGACTAGAATGGCAATTTTAAGACCTACATCTTTTATGAAAGAATTATTACTTTTGAAGTTCATGTGAAGGAGTTATAGGGAATTGAAAGTGGTGCTTTCAAATCAAAGGTAGTAAGTGAGCGATTTTGTTTATAGTAATGGTTGGAGTCATAACTTAAGTTTTTGGATGAATTTTTAGCTAAAACTTTTTGAAGAATATGAAATTTTATGTTAAAAAGCTATATATATATATATATATATATATATATATATATATATATATATATATATATATATATATATATATATATTTTGTAGGATTTGAACTTATATTTTATGAGATATGAAAAAAGTTGCATGCAAGTGTATAAAATCAAGGGTTTAAAGTGAATGTTAGGGTTTTCATGTTATCTCAAGATCTGCAATAAATTTTTAATTGAAATTTATTATTGAAGTTAATAAAAATATATCAGTACTTTATATAAAATTTGAATTTGTTTGAATAATCGGATCAAGAGATATAAAGTTCTAGTCCTTAGTCTTATTTCAAGTTTTTCTAGTCTTCTTGTTTTTGGCAATAGCCATTTTAGTTTAATATTATATCACCTTTTGAGTGACTTTCTAGTTTTCTTTCGTGATAGAAGAGTATATTGAGGATTTTTTTCTTCAAGATTCATGTTCTTGATATCTTGACAAGAGTGCTAATATATTATTTCTGTCTTGTTTTAGAAGTGAATGTATTATTCCACTTCTATTATTATATTTTAAAAATTACAGACTATCCACCTTTAAATAAAAAATCTTATTTTTCAACATTAATCTTTTCTTTAAAGAAAGTAGATTATCCCTCTTTATGAAATTTTTTATTAGAGGTTACAGATTATCTTCCTCTAATTTAACTTTTTGGATTTATTTGACTTGTCTATGGAAGAAAAGATTATGGATGCTACTCCTAGTAGAAGTGAGAATAGATTTGTAACTATTGCAAATTTTCATGAGCTTGTCAACTTTCTTAGGGCAAAAATTTCATGCATCACCAACATCAACGATAGAGGCACTACTTCTATATTTATGGAGGAAGTTTAGGGTTTTTATTAAGAAGTTGTGCAATTGAGGGAAAGAAGTCGATCAACCTCACAATCAAATTCAAAGGCTCTTACTTCTACAAGCTTAAGAGAGACAAGAATT